AAGAAAGGTAATAGATACAGAAAGATGAACAACCACAAGCCATGAAACAGCAGAGCACTTTAAGGAACTGTGCTCAGGTATGTGGTGACAACCACATGTGCGGATCATGTGGGGCAGCAGAGGAGTTGGAGAGGTAGGACTGTGCCATGGAAGCCTTGACAGTACCTCTGAACCAAGAAAAGAACACTTTTTATGCCGTGCAATATAGTTTTTATTTCAAAAGTATGTTTCCTGTACTACTAGACAAAATAAACACATTTACTATTTTTAAAATTAGTTTAAGCAGAGTAAATAATGAGAATTTTTTTGGACAAAACTGTGAGGTTAATCTATAGCTAACTGACTACTGATGATATAATATGTAGGAGACAAACTCAATATTAATTTCTGGAGAAAGAATGCCCCGCTGTGGCCTTACAGAGAGTTTACAAAGAAATATTTCCTGTGACTAAACGGTTTGTGTTCTGCTTCCTTGCAAAACCAGCTACTGTGCCACTTAGAGCACAGTAATACGTGGCTGAGTCTTCCTCTTGAGCGAATAGTTTCTTCAGATGGAAAGATGTATCGCTTTTGTTAAGGTCAGCAGTGAAGCCTTTGATGCTCTCTCTAGGGATGTGCCTCAAGAGTAACTGGAGGCGTTGTTTGGGGTACTGGACATACCAAAGGAGATCAGGACTCCCAGAATATGAATAGTAGCACTTCAGCTCCACTGGGGCCCCTTTAAAGACAGAGAGGATCTTCTCGGGCTGAGTCACACTCTGGGCTCTTGTTCCTCCTATAACACCAATTGTGGATCAGGAAGAGCCTTACAGACTGGGGATAATATTCATTAAAGTTATTCTAAATCAGAATACCATAGAAAAATAGAACAAAAAGAGGCTTTACTCACTGAGTATAAATATTATCACAAGCACTGAGATGAGGGTGGGCTTCATGTCTGAGCGGTGGAGAAACAGGAAGCTATTTTCTGGAGGTCTTTTCTGGAAACAATTCGGCCACATAGACACTCTGATAGAGAAGTGGATGAGTTTGCCCAGCATGTAAAGCAAAAAGCTGTTCTTCAAAAAGATCAGGTTGTTTTTGGCTATCAAATTCAATTTGTGTAACATCTCCCTCTAGAGGCCAAATACAATACTGCAGCTAACTCAGGCTTCAGGAAGTCTTCAAATTCAGAGAAGGAGAATTTCCTCCTCAGTTAGTAAGACAAAGTGTGATGCTATACTAATTGAAATAGAATGTTATTTTAAAAATCCACATATAGGGCTTAATGAAGTAGAATATAAGTTCAAATATACAAATACATATGGAAATTTAGTTAAAAATGGGGAAAATGTGTAATCCTACCAATCATTTGGAAGTTAACAGATAAGTTAGGATGCCTACCTTAATACCTGTTATAAAATAAAGTTCAAAAGGCATAACATTTAATATTTTAAGTAAAATAAAAAACTTTTAAAATAAATTTAGAAAGGTCATGGATTTTCTAAGCATGACAGTCAAAAAACATAAGAAAAAATATAGATAGATTACTCTTCATAGAAATTTAAATTTCTATACAGATATTTTAGTGAAATGTGTAAACATTATCAGAT